CCTAAATTGTGATGCATGCAGGACCGGAGAAGCATGTGTACCAGTTCAATTGTCAGCGGTAGGAGATGAAGTACCCATAGCGTTCATGTCCAAAAAGGTCAACAGAACTCAAAGAAATTACACAGTGACAAAGCAAGAATGCCTAGCGACTGGATTGTGTATTAAAACGTATAGACCAGGGGTCGGCAATCTTTTTTCGCTGCGGATCAAAATCAATCAAAATGTGACTATTACAGAGACGTTTGGGTCGTAGAGTAAAAAAAGTGAGTCACTTGGAATTATCAAACGGGTCATTCGGTGACTATGGTATAAACCATAGACTGAAGGACAAGAATTTACGATATTAACAGATCATGCGTCCTTAAAATGATTAATGATGTCACAACGTGACTTAAGCTCTAGGTTGGCAAGATGGGCGTTAACGTTGCAAGGTTATGTTTTCAAAATTAAACATCATAAAGGAAGTTCGAATATAGTGTTGGATGATCTCTCTCTCTTGTCCGTGTAGATGATGAAGTGGTGAAAAATGTTTTCAATATCAACAATCCGACTGAAGATAGTTGTTGTGTTTTTGCTGATTTAACATCTGAACATTTTCGATCGGAGGAGTATTTGGAATTAATAGAAAACTTACGCGAACATCAAGGAAAATTTCCGGACAGATGAGCTGCTGATGGTTTTACATATACCACAGAACGGAGCATACTTCAGGAGACCATACCGTTTACGGAGCTACTATTATTGATCCAATTTAGTCAACGATATTAAAGAATATATAAGTTCATGCGATTTTCGTATATATACAAAACCTGCCAAATCATGTTCTTAGGGAAATTGAAATCTGCAGAAAAATGATTTCAAAAATGATATGTAGATTATATGTAGAAGCCTTATCCTAGGACACGTTCCGAACAAATTGCCATATACGTGTTTTTGTAAATCTGTAAAAAAATTTAATGCTAATCTAATAACTAAATATTTAGCAGAAGAAATTTTACATACATATGGAGTAAATAAAACTATGGTGCCAGTCTATCGAGTAGAATTTAAATCGGGACTGTTTGAACAACTCTTAAAGAAATATAAGGTTTGCCATGCTTCCACTAACTTTCATTTACCTCAAGCAAACACATCAGGAGGTACAAACAGGTCAGTTTTAGCAGCAATTAGATCATATGTCAATTCAGAGCAAAAGAACTGGGATGACCTTCTAGGTAGTATTTCTTTTGCCCTTACATCTAAAACGCATTCAGCCGTGGGATTTTTTCCACTTGATTATTTGTTATTCGGAGAACAAATGATTACCAATAGACAAACATTATTAATTAATAAGACAAAGAAATGCTTTGAACGATAGATCGGCAAGATTCACTATTTGGAGAAACTTGAACTCGTCGGATTTTGCAAAAGGATACAATGCTGTATTAGGCCTAATTTTAGTTAAATAGCAAATTAGGAAGAACTCGGCAACTTTTATTACCAATTGGACGATGTGTAAATACTTTTCATGCAAAAGACATACGGCAAAGAATATTTTTGTATTTTCTATATACCTTGTGAGGTATTAACTTACCCCAAAAGTGATTTTGGCGGCAGAGTGCGTAGCTCAAGCAAGCAGCATCTACCTCAGAAAGTACTCTAGAAATTTTTTTTTTTTTTTTTTTTTTGATAAGCGATTGATTTGTTCGGAGCTTTCATAGTTTCCTTGTTGTTTTAATGATTCAAAAAAAAACAAAGGAATGAATTAAGAGAACTGCATACATAAACTTGACTTGAAAGATTTATTTGCCCGAGTTAATTTTGGCGTATTTCTATCGATGTGTGTGTGTCTGCATAAAGAATTAAAAATCATTTTTGAATAGGCCAGGTGACGGAGAAGCAAATAAAAAGTGGATAACGCATCAATAAGCAATTGATGAGAAAGCTCCTTCTCGATGGCTTAATTTTTGACAGAAAGAAAATTTTTGAAAATTGAACGGATTATTTAGCTCGTTAACGTTTTAAGGTGAAATAAAATTTAGTTATTCTTTTTGTTGTGTTTAAAAATAGACAAAATAAAAACAAAAAAAAAAATTCAAATTAAAAAAAAAAAAAATTCTTTCGAAAATTAAAATAAATGTATAATAAGAGTTATTTAAAAAAAATAATAAAATTAAAAAATTGGACAGAGATTACCTTTAAAACTAAATTATACGAGGTTGAGTTGAATACCTATATCAGCAACCGAGAATTGTAATAAACGGCCGTAGCAATAACTGCAAAGCTAAAGCACTGCAACTGATTCAAGTCGCTTTAATCAAGGAAAACTCAACTTCCCAAACGGAGAAAGGAAAGCAAAATAATAGGAAATAGAATATATATATATATATACAAAATGTAACCGTCAACGTCAAATGATTAAATAGTATATGGTATATATATATATAGTATATATATATATATAGAATTACAAAAATTCTTTTTATACATACTCTGCAGACGACTACCTGTGCTATATATAT